GAATCGGGTATAACGCACATAACAGGCGCAACAAGAAACCTTGATTTCGACCATGTTTATCCTGTAACATTGCATTCTAGAATCTGACGATCGCACTGACCATATGAGACGACTTTGAAGGACTTATAACGAGAACAATAGGCGAGTGAAGATACTTCGACAACATCAGTCTGCACACTGTATCTCTGTATTCTTTCATCTCACATAGATACCTCTGGAGCATATAAGTTCGCAACGATCATATGAGACGACATCGAAGCGGGTATAACGCACACAACAGGCAGAACAAGAAACTTCAACTTCGACTATGTTTACTTTGTAACTTTGCATTCTAGCATCTCAAATGCCCATTCAACTAAAAACTTCGATTCCAACAATCAAGAGTCGGTGAACCGGCGTGTTCGCCAAAACTTCGAATTTATCAATCTTGATAATAAGTCGATTATACATCTTATAGGTAGACATTGTCTAGTGTTTCCTGATCCAAAATAACGCTTACAATAGGGAGAACAAGAAACTTCGACATCGACTATGTTTACACCGTAACTTCGCATTCTAGCATCTGACATGCCTACAATAATTGCAGATACGATCGCACTGACCATATAGGACGACTTCGAAGGACATACAACGAGGACAATAAACAAGTGGAGATACTTCGACAACATCAGTCCGCACACCGTATCTCTGTATTCTATCATCTCCCATGGATACCTCTGGAGCATATGAGTTCGCAACTATTATATAAGACGACATCGAAGCGGGTATAACGCACACAACATGCAGAACAAGAAACTTCGACTCCGACTATGTTTACACTGTAACTTTGCATTCTAGCATCTGACATGCCTACAGTTATAGCAAATACGATGGCACTGACCATATAAGACGACTTTGAAGGACTCATGATGGGAACAAAAAGCAAGTGAAGATACTTCGAATACTTCAGTCCGCACACTGTATCTCTGTATTCTATCATCTTACATGGATACCTTTGGAGCATATCAGTTCGCAACGATCATATGAGATGACATCGAAGCGGGTATAACGCACACAACATGCAGAACAAGAAACTTCGACTCCGACTATGTTCAAACTGTAACTTTGCATTCTAGCATCTGACATGCCTACAGTTATAGCAAATACGATGGCACTGACCATATAAGACGACTTTGAAGGACTCATGATGGGAACAAAAAGCAAGTGAAGATACTTCGAATACTTCAGTCCGCACACTGTATCTCTGTATTCTATCATCTTACATGGATACCTTTGGAGCATATCAGTTCGCAACGATCATATGAGACGACATCGAAGCGGGTATAACGCTCACAACAGGCAGAACAAGAAACTTCGACTCCGACTATGTTTACACTGTACCTCTGCATTTCAGCATCTGACATGCCTAGAGCTATAGCAGATACGATCGCACTGACCATTAAGGACGACTTCGAAGGACATATTACGAGAACATTAGGCGAGTGAGGATACTTCGACAACATTAGTCTGCACACTGTATCTCTGTATTTCATCATCTCACATGGATACCTTTGGAGCATATCAGTTCGCAACGATCCTATAAGACGACATCGAAGCGAGGATAACGCACATAACAGGCAGAACATGAAACTTTGACTTCGATTATGTTTACACTGTACCTCTGCATTCAAGCATCTGACATGCCTAGAGCTATAGCAAATACGATCGCACTGACCATATAAGTCGACTCCGAAGGACATATAACGAGAATAATAGGCAAGTATAGATACTTCGACAACATCAGTCTGCACACTGTTTCTCTGTGTTCCATCATCTCACATGGATACCTCTGGGGCATAAATGTTCGCAACGATCATATGAGACGACATCGAAGCGGGTATAACTAACACAACAGGAAGAACAAGAAACTTCGACTCCGACTATGTTCACACCGTAACTTCGCATTCTAGCATCTGACATGCCTACAATGATTGCAGATACGAAAAAAAGGCTCCCCCCACTCCCCTCCAACTAAGATTTTTGGACGACCAAGTGATTTCGCATCGCAATGATCTTCGGAATGATAAAAAATTAGTTTTACATTTCAGCAACAAAGTGCCCACGAAAATCTATTCTAGAAGCCTTTCGCCAGTCTATTTACTCTTCTATTCGACAATGTTCACACTGTAACTTTGCATTCTAGCATCTGACATGCCTACAGCTATAGCAGATACGATCGCACTGACCATAAAAGACGACTTCGAAGGACATATTACGAGAACATTAGGCGAGTGAGGATACTTCGACAACATTAGTCTGCACACTGTATCTCTGTATTTCATCATCTCACATGGATACCTTTGGAGCATATCAGTTCGCAACGATCCTTTAAGACGACATCGAAGCGACGATAACGCACATAACAGGCAGAACATGAAACTTTGACTTCGACTATGTTTACACTGTACCTCTGCATTTCAACATCTGACATGCCTAGAGCTATAGCAGATACGATCGCACTGACCATTAAAGACGACTTCGAAGGACATATTACGAGAACATTAGGCGAGCAAGGATACTTCGACAACATTAGTCTGCACACTGTATCTCTGTATTTCATCATCTCACATGGATACCTTTGGAGCATATCAGTTCGCAACGATCCTATAAGACGACATCGAAGCGAGGATAACGCACATAACAGGCAGAACATGAAACTTTGACTTCGACTATGTTTACACTGTACATCTGCATTCTAGCATTTGACATGCCTAGAGCTATAACAGATACGATCGCACTGACCATATAAGACGACTTCGAAGGACATATAACGAGAACAATAGGCAACTATAGATACTTCGACAACATCAGTCTGCACACTGTATCTCTGTGTTCCATCATCTCACATGGATACCTCTGGGGCATATATGTTCGCAACGATCATATGAGACGACATCGAAGCGGGCATAACTTACACAACAGGAAGAACAAGAAACTCCGACTCCGACCATGTTCACACTGTAACTCCGCATTATAGCATCTGACATGCCTACAGCTATAGCAGATACGATCGCACTGACCATATAAGACGAACTCGAAGGACATATAACGAGAACAATAGGCAAGTGAAGATACTTCGACAACATCAGTCTGCACACTGTATCCCTGTATTCTATCATCTCACATGGATACCTTCAGAGCATTGTAGTTCGCAACGATTATATGAGTTGACATCGAATCGTGTATAACACACAAAACAGGCAGAACAAAAAACTTTGACTTCGACTATGTTCAGACTGTAACTTTGCATTCTAGCATCTGACATGCATACAGTTATAGCAGATACGATTGCAATGACCATATAAGACGACTTTGAAGGACTTATAACGAGAACAATAGACAAGTGATGATACTTCGACAACATCAGGCCGCACACTGTATCTCTGTATTCTATCATATCACATGGATACATTTTGAGTATATCAGTTCTCAACGATCATATGAGACGACATCAAATCGAACACAACAGGCAGAACAAGAAACTTCGACTTCGACTTTGTTCACACTGTGGCTCTGCATTCTAGCATCTGACATGCCTAGAGCTATAACAGATACGATCGCACTGACCATATAAGACGACTTCGAAGGACATATAACGAGAATAATAGGCAACTATAGATACTTCGACAACATTAGTCTGCACACTGTATCTCTATGTTCCATCATCTCACATGGATACCTCTGGGGCAAATATGTTCGCAACGATCATATGAGACGACATCGAAGCAGGCATAACTTACACAACAGGAAGAACAAGAAACTTCGACTCCGACTATGTTCACACTGTAACTCCGCATTCTAGCATCTGACATGCCTACAGCTATAGCAGATACGATCGCACTGACCATATAAGACGAATTCGAAGGACATATAACTAGAACAATAGGCAAGTGAAGATACTTCGACAACATCAGTCTGCACACTGTATCCCTGTATTCTATCATCTCACACGGATACCTTCAGAGCATTGTAGTTCGCAACGATTATATGAGTCGACATCGAATCGTGTATAACACACAAAACAGGCAGAACAAGAAACTTTGACTTCGACTATGTTCACACTGTGACTTTGCATTCTAGCATCTGACATGCATACAGTTATAGCAGATACGATCGCAAAGACCATATAAGACGACTTTGAAGGACTTATAACGAGAACAATAGGCAAGTGATGATACTTCGACAACATCAGGCCGCACACTGTATCTCCCTATTCTATCATATCACATGGATACCTTTTGAGTATATCAGTTCTCAACGATCATATGAGACGACATCAAATCGAACACAACAGGCAGAACAAGAAACTTCGACTTCGACTTTGTTTACACTGTGGCTCTGAATTCTAGCATCTGACATGCCTACAGTCAAAACAAATACAATCGCACTGACCATATAGAAAGACTCTGAAGGACATATCACGAGATTAATAGGCAAGTGAGGAGACTTCGACAACATCAGTCTGCACACTGTATCTCTGTATTTCATCATCTCACATAGATACCTCTGGAGCATATCAGTTCGCAACGATCATATGAGACGACATCAAATCGGGTAGAACGCACACAACAGGCAGAACAAGAAACTTCGACTATATTTACACTGTAACTTTGCATTCTATATAGCATCCGACATGCCTACAGTTATAGCAGATACGATCGCACTGACCATATGAGACGACTTCAAAGGACATATAACGAGAACAATAAGCAAGTAAAGATACTTCGACAACATCAGTCTGCACACTGTATCTCTGTATTCTATCATCTCACATAGATACCTCTGGAGCATATATGTTCGCAACGATCATATGAGACGACATCGAAACGGATATAACGTACACAACAGGCCGAATAAGAAACTTCGACTTCGACTATGTATACTTCGTAACTTTGCATTCTGGCATCTTGAATGCTCATTCAAGAAGTATATATGACAGCCCATTATATGTGAGTGGAGTACTATACTTTTTCATATCCACCAAAAACTTCGATTCCAACAATCAAGAGTCGGTAAACCGGCGTGTTCGCCAAAACTTCGAATTTATCAATCTTGATAATAAGTCGGTTATACATCTTATAGGTAGAAATTGTCTAGTGTTTCCTGAATCGAGTGGAGTACTATACTTTTTCATATCCACCAAAAACTTCGATTCCAACAATCAAGAGTCGGTAAACCGGCGTGTTCGCCGAAACTTCGAATTTATCAATCTTGATAATAAGTCGGTTATACATCTTATAGGTAGAAATTGTCTAGTGTTTCCTGAATCGAAATAACGCTCACAACAGGGAGAGCAAGAAACTTCGACTTCGACTATTTTTACACTGTAACTTCGCATTCTAGCATCTGACATTCCTACAGTAATTGCAGATACGATTGCACTGACCATATAGGACGACTTCGAAGGACATACAACGAGAACAATAGGCAAGTGAAGATACTTCGACAACATCAGTCCGCATACCGTTTCTCTGTATTCTATCATCTCACATGGATACCTCTGGAGCATATGAGTTCTCAACTATTATATAAAAAGACATCGAAGTAGCTATAACGCACACAACAGGCAGAACAAGAAACATCGACCCCGACTATGCTTACACTGTAACTCCGCATTCTAGCATCCGACATGCCTACAGCTATAGCAGATACGATCGCACTGACCATATAAGACGACTTCGAGGGACATATAACGAGAACAATTGACAAGTGAAGATACTTCGACATCATTCTGCACACTGTATCTTTGTATTGTTACATTTCACATGAATACCTTTGTAGCATGGTAGTTCGCAACGATCATATTTTATGAGACGACATCAAAACGGGAATAACGCACACAACAGGCAGAACAAGAAACTTCGACTACGACTATGTCTACACTGTGACTTTGCATTCAAGCTTCTGACATGTCTACAGTTATAGCAGATGCGATCGCACTGACCATATAAGACGATTTTGAAGAGGACTTATAACGAGAACAATAGGCAAATAAAGATACTTCGATAACATCAGTCCGCACACTGTATATTTTTTTTTTTTTATTTTATTTTATTTTATTCATACACCATCCAACAGCCGGAGCCAATTACAGGATGGGAAAGATAAGCAATTAATTACAAATTACAATTTAGATACAAACTAGATTAATACTAACTATACATAAGTTGCATACTAAGGTGAATGGAGATGGGCATATCTGCATATGAGCTGAAAAAAAAAACTATGAAGAGAGAAAAAAAAAAGCTCACATGCAGATATGCACACTACCAAATAATACTACAACAATGCTCGTTTCAAACTAGCAATATTAGAACAGAGAATATCAAATGAATCTTGAGAAGACATATAATCTGAACATATTCTATAAATAGGTGAAAACTGCAGTAAATTAGATTGAGGTGTGCGCAAGTAGAAGAAATATTTATCTCTCACTGGCAATCGAGGAACATGTATATCAATGAGAGACAGTAAATGGGGACAATCAAGTTTGTTATTGAGCAATTTATATAGAAATAAGACTCCACTATAAGCACGGCGAGTAGCCAATAGTGCAGTTTCAAATCTACCTGTTAATGTCAATTGGGGCAATCCTCTATCTGGATATACCCCATCTACTCTAAACCAGAGGTGTTTCATGAATTTCCGCTGAATGTTTTCAATATTATTAGAATGAACATCATATCCAGGACTCCAGACCACCGAGGCATACTCCAGTTTTGACCTCACAAAAGCATTGAAAATTAACTTCAGTGACTCAGTTTGCTGCATGAACTTTGAGTTTCTTAAAATAAATCCCAGTGTTTTGTAAGCTTTTGCGACCATTCCAGTTATATGATCAACGAATGTTAGTTTAACATCAAAGACCACACCCAAGTCCTTGAACTGACAACATCTATCTAGCAACTCATTGTCGATACTATAGGTATACTCAATGATATGCTTCCTCCGCGTAAAAGACATATATTTACACTTTTTTATGTTGAGTGGCAATAAGTTAGAATTACACCAGGTATGAAGCCTTTGAAGGTCATCTTGGAGTAACTTACAATCCTGAATGCTATTGACTGTCGCATAAATCTTACAATCGTCTGCATATAATAACACATTTGACTTGAGGGTTCTGCATATGTCATTTATGAATATTGTGAATAGCAGAGGACCAAGAATTGATCCCTGTGGAACACCAGATGAAGCTGATATCTCAATAGACTTGAATCCATGGTACTGAACATGCAGTTTCCTGTTTGAGAGATAAGACATGAAAAAATTTATTAGTTTTTTGGTGAGTCCAAAGCAGGCGAGCTTCCTCAGAAGCAAACCATGGTCAAGGCAATCAAAAGCTTTCGAAAAATCTGTATATATTACGTCCACCTGCCTCCCACTGTCCAATGAACCAGATAAAAATTGAGTAATGCATACTAAGTTGGTGACGGTAGATCGTCCTTTCATAAAACCATGCTGATTCTCAATGACTTGTGAATTTACATGTGCTGACAAAAATTCATGAATTACCATTTCGAATAACTTACTAAAATTACATAAAATCACTATTGGCCTATAATGTTCAATATTATACGTATCGCCTTTTTTAAATACAGGACATATTTTTGCAGCTTTCCATGAAGCAGGAAAAATATTTGTTCGAAGAGACAAATTGAAAATTACTGCTAACGGTTTCGCAAATATTATTGCACAATCCTTGAGTATGAAAGATGGTATACCGTCTGGGCCCATAGTCATTTTTGGTTTGAATTTTTTTAACGCTCTGAGAACAAGATCTTCTGATATAAAAGGAGTAGCTAAACTGGGTGTGTTATCGAATCCTTCCTCAGGTTCATAAACTGTTGAGGTTATAAAAGATGATTGAAAAAAGGTCGCAAAGGCATTCAAAATTTCCAAGGGTTCATTGAATTCATCATCATTGAGGATCATTGAACTTGGTAAACTGGACTTATTTTTCATAATATTCATGTAGGACCAAAATGATTTTGGATTGTTTTGCAACTCATGTTCAGCAGTTCTAACAAAATTCGTATGTGATATTGATACGTCTTTCTTAATAGTACTTCTCAAGGTTTTGAAATTTTCAAGGAATTCAGGGTCTCCAGAGTTTCTGTAAAGTTTTAAAAGTTTGTTTTTCTTTTTTATATTCCTAATTATTGGACCAGTAAACCAAGGTGGATATGAGGAATTTCTAACTATTTTGGTAGGAACACTTTTCGAGAAAACACTTTCTAGCGTTGTATATAGTTGAGTGCACGCTGAATCGACATCTACTAACGCATCTAAGAATGACCAGTCAACTTCCATGAGGTCCTGATACAATTTTACAAAGTTTGCTTTTCTGAAGTTATGAGTTGCGATACAATCTGTTTCAGATTTGGTGCTACAAGAGTCAAACTTGAAGTCAATTAGTAATGGCGGGTGATGAGTATCAATTGGAAGCAGGGGATCACTGGATTCGGAAACAACAACTGTTGACCTACTGAAAACTAAGTCAAGAATACGATTATTGCAATTTGAAATTGAATTATATTGACTCAATCCCATATAATTGCTAAAATTCACGAGATTGTCCATAAGTCCTTTTGGAATAGAGGAGACAAAGTTTGGAATATTGAAATCTCCAACAATAATCAGATTACTATCAGATTCATTGAGATATGGGAGATTACATAATGTTTCAAAGAGAATTTCATACGTGGCAGGAATTGTAGCAGGGGGGATGTAGATATTCAAAATGAAGTAGTAAGTTTTTCCCAACATTACCTTTATACCAATCATATCAATCATTGGCACTAAGTCCGATACGGTAGTCAAGTCAATCTGAGTTGAACTAAAATGATTGCTTATTGCCAATAATACACCTCCTCCTCTTGTTTTATTCGTGAGGTCAAAATCCCTATCCTTACGAAAAATTATATAATTACCCCGAGACAACTCACTGTCGAGAATGTCAGAGTCTAGCCAGGTTTCACTCAAGGCAATCAAGTCGAACTCAGAAGCAGTGACTGCATCTGCAAGTGCATGAGTCTTGGAACGCAAACCTCGCACATTTTGATAATAAAGAGCAAACTGGTTAGATTTTGACCTCGATTTTGACATACACCTCTGTTCAGATTCCTGTGAAATCTCTGACTGCTATTTGGTTACAAATAAATCTGATTTGTATAAAGACATTTTTCTTTGGTAAATTGGACACTTTTTATCCCACACTGCATGCTGGTTATCAGTAACTTTGGCAGCCGTACAATTCACACACTTTTCATTTGCCGAATCGCAGTCTCTCAAACAATGATCAAGGGAACATTTTGGACAAATAAGCTTGTTGCTCTTACATGTCGACTGACTATGATTGAATCCACTACATTTGTAACAAATTTTGATTTCTGTTGCATCATATACAGGACATACATCATAGTTAACAAAAAGTTTACCGCGATTGAGTACCAACCCATAAGCTGAAGCATCCAATTCGACGAGAGCTTGAAAAATATTTGAATCTTTCTTGGTTCCCCAAACTCGTAATACACTAACATGACAATCGTCTGATATAACATCATTCTGGCCCTTCAAATACTTAACTAGATCTTCTCCTGTATAGTTTTCAACCAGACCAACGACTTTGATTTTTGGTAAATTTTTTCTTACTTCAGAAACCTTGTAGGAAGACGATAACTTTTCTTTGGCAATTTTCGCAAAACTTGTAGCACCTTCAGTATTATTACACCCAATAAGAATTCCACCATCTCTGACCCTTTTTACTTGGGATACTTGCACTCCATAATCCACCGGATTGATATTTTTCATAATATCGCATTTGGTCTTATCATTCGTTTGTTCAACATCGATTGGTTTAATAACAACCATGGATTTACTACCAGTTATATCAGCATATGTAGTTTTCTCCGTATTGACAATCTGAGTCTTACAAGCATGTGATAATTTTTCATCAGCTATTTTCAAAATATCAGACTTTATGTCATCGAACATGGATTCCATATCTTTCATCACTTGTGAAATCTTCAAATCGAAGGTGTTTTTGATGTGTAAATCATATTTGTTCTTCATTTTGAGACATGCTGTACAGAACCAACAAAAACCCGGAATCTTAAGGCAATCCAAGGATCCAGCAGATAATCGAACACACTGCAAGTGATAAGACTTGTTGCAAAAACCCGCACAAGAAATGTACTGAGTTTTTCGCCTATCAATCGCAGAATCGCATTCGCCGCATATCTGGGACATTTTACCATACTACGTTCACAATATTTATATTAACGTAATTATTGAATATGTAGTACGTTACCGCTGTCTTCAGCTACACACAGTATCAAACATAAGATGTAAATGTCACTTATAATCACTCAAAAAATGAATATAACTCAGAGCAATACTATAGCACGTCGTCTGCTACAGCATATGAATATATATCTGTATTCTATCATCTCACATGGAAACCTTTGGAGCGTATCAGTTCGCAATGATCATTTGAGACATCAAAACGGAAATAACGCATAAAACAGGGAGAACAAGAAACTTCGACTATGTTCACACTGTGGCTCTGAATTCTTGCATCTGACATGCCTACAGTTGAAACAGATACGATCGCATTGACCATATAGAAAGACTTTGAAGGACATATAACGAGATTAATAGGCAAGTGAGGATACTTCGACATCAGTCTGCACACTGTATCTCTGTATTTTATCATCCCACATAGATACCTCTGTAGCATATCAGTTCGCATCCATCATATGAGACGACATCAAAACGGGTATAACGCACACAACAGGCAGAACAAGAAACTTCGACTATATTTGTTCACACTGTAACTTCACATTCTAGAATCTGACATGCCTACAGCTATAGTAGATACGATCGCACTGACCATATAAGATGACTTCGAAGGACATAAAAAGAGTACAATAGGCAAGTGTAGATACTTTGACAACATCAGTCTGCACACTGTATCTCTGTATTCTATCACCTCACATGAATTTTTGTGGAGCATATCAGTTCGCATCGATCATATGAGATGACATCAAAACGGGTATAACGCACACAACAGGCAGAACAAGAAACTTCGACTTCGACTATGTCTACACTGTAACTTTGCATTCTAACATCTGACATGCCTAGAGTTATAGCAGATTCGATCGCACTGACCATATAGGACGACTTCGAAGGACATATTACGAGAACAATAGGCAAGTGAGATACTTCGACAACATCAGTCTGCACACTGTATCGCTGTATTCTATCATCTCACATAGATACCTCTGGAGCATAAAAATTCGCAACGATCATATGAGACGACATCGGAGCGGGTATAACGCACACAACAGGCAGAACGAGAAACTTCGACTTCGACTTTGTTTACTTTGTAACTTTGCATTCTAGCATCTCAAATGCCCATTCAAGGAGTAAATATTTTCACGAGTAGAACATACGGTATATCAGTAATTTCGAACCATGAGGGTTTTATAAACATAAAGTAAATCAAATCATCCGTTGACATTGAATTATAAAAACTGACCAAGGAACGCTCATGAGAAACGTGCATTTTTAATAAAATGATGTATATAAATATTGGATGTGAGGGTTCCGAAGTCAGTCTGGTCTGGGGCTACTCTTGACTCGACAAGAGCTCGTCGTAATGGTCATCATGATGTGAGTTGATATTCGGTCTTTATAATCATTGTTGATTATGCGTATTTGTCATTGCTACCCATAATGTTTCATGCAATTATAAATATTGTTATGTTCGAATGTAGTCTCGTACTTTCAGCTACCCCTAAACTATTAGTGCCTATTTGGATATTACCTCTCGCAAAATATTAAGCCAATCGTGTGAGACAGTTTTCATTATTTTGAGTATTGAATATAAATATGTGTCTTTAATGGGGTATCTGGCCAGGATTTGCGAACGGTCCAGCATGCTAAAACTGGACTGCCTTGATTTGATCTTCAAATGGGGCGTTCCTGGTAGTGCACACAGATAGGCATGCTAAAATCATCTGTACCCATACAAAAACTGAGTAAAAAATATTAATTCATTTTTAACAGGCACAACTCGTATATTGTGACAATATGACAGCTCATTATATGCGAGTGGAGTACTATACTTTCTCATATCTACTAAAAACTTCGATTCCAACAATCAAGAGTCGGTAAACCGGCGTGTTCGCCGAAACTTCGAATTTATCAATCTTGATAATAAGTCGGTTATACATCTTATAGGTAGACAATGTCTAGTGTATCCTGAATCGAGATAACGCTTACAACAGGGAGAACAAGAAACTTCGGCTTCGACTATGTTTACACCGTAACTCCGCAATCTAGCATCTCAGTATTATTTCATATCACATAGATACCTTTGGAGCATATATGTTCGCAACGATCATATAAGACGACATCGAAGCGGGTATAACGCACACAACAAGCAGAACAAGAAACTTCGACTCCGACTATATTTACACTGTAACTCCGCATTCTCACATCTGACATGCCTACGACAATAGCAGGTACGATCGCACTGACCATATATGACGACTTCGAAGGACATATAACAAGAACAATAGGCGAGTGAAGATACTTTGACAACATCAGTCTGCACACTGTATCTCTGTATTCTATCAACTCCCATGGATACCTTTGGAGCATGGTGGTTCGCAACGATCATATGAGTTGACATCGAATCGGGTATAACGCACACAACAGGCAGAACAAGAAACCTTGATTTCGACCATGTTTACTCTGTAACATTGCATTCTAGAATCTGACGATCGCACTGACCATATGAGACGACTTTGAAGGACTTATAACGAGAACAATAGGCAAGTGAAGATACTTCGACAACATCAGTCTGCACACTGTATCTCTGTATTCTATCATCTCACATAGATACCTCTGGAGCATATAAGTTCGCAACGATCATATGAGACGACATCGAAGCGGGTATAACGCACCCAACAGGCAGAACGGGAAACTTCAACTTCGACTATGTTTACTTTGTAACTTTGCATTCCAGCATCTCAAATGCCCATTCAAGGAGTGAATATGACAGCTCATTATATGCGAGTGGAGTACTATACTTTTTCATATCTACTAAAAACTTCGATTCCAACAATCAAGAGTCGGTAAACCGGCGTGTTCGCCAAAACTTCGAATTTATCAATCTTGATAATAAGTCGGTTATACATCTTATAGGTAGACCTTGTCTAGTGTTTCCTGATTCAAAATAACGCTTACAACAGGGAGAACACGAAACTTCGACATCGACTATGTTTACACCGTAACTTCGCATTCTAACATCTGACATGCCTACAATAATTGCAGATACGATCGCACTGACCATATAGGACGACTTCGAAGGACATATAACGAGGACAATAGGCAAGTGAAGATACTTCGAAAACATCAGTCCGCACACCGTATCTCTGTATTCTATCATCTCACATGGATACCTCTGGAGCATATGAGTTCGAAACTATTATATAAGACGACATCAAAGCGAGTATAACGCACACAACAGGCAGAACAAGAAACTTCGACTTCGACTATGTTTACACTGTAACTTTGCATTCCAGCATCTGACATGCCTACAGTTATAGCAAATACGATCGCACTGACCATATAAGACGACTATGAAGGACTCATGATGAGAACAAAAAGCAAGTGAAGATACTTCGAATACTTCAGTCCGCACACTGTATCTCTGTATTCTATCATCTTACATGGATACCTTTGGAGAATATCAGTTCGCAACGATCATATGAGACGACATCGAAGCGGGTATAACGCACACAACAGGCAGAACAAAAAACTTCGACTCCGACTGTACCTCTGCATTTCAGCATCTGACATGCCTAGAGCTATAGCAGATACGATCGCACTGACCATAAAAGACGACTTCTAAGGACATATTACGAGAACATTAGGCGATTGAGGATACTTCGGCAACATTAGTCTGCACACTGTATCTCTGTATTTCATCATCTAACATGGATACCTTTGGAGCATATCAGTTCGCAACGATCCTATAAGACGTCATCGAAGCGAGGATAACGCACATAACAGGCAGAACATGAAACTCTGACTTCGACTATGTTTACACTGTACCTCTGCATTCTAGCATCTGACATGCCTAGTGCTATAGCAGATACGATCGATCGCACTGACCATATAAGACAACTTCGAAGGACATATAACGAGAACAATAGGCAAGTATAGATACTTCGACAACATCAGTCTGCACACTGTACCCTGTGTTCCATCATCTCACATGGATACCTCTGGGGCATATATGTTCGCAACGATCATATGAGACGACATCGAAGCGGGCATAACTTACACAACAGGAAGAACAAGAAACTTCGACTCCGACTATGTTCACACTGTAACTCCGCATTCTAGCATCTGACATGCCTACAGCTATAGCAGATACGATCGCACTGACCATATAAGACGAATTCGAAGGACATAATAATATAACGAGAACAATAGGCGAGTGAAGATACTTCGTCAACATCAGTCTGCACACTGTATCCCTGTATTCTATCATCTCACATGGATACCTTCGGAGCATTGTAGTTCGCAACGATTATATGAGTTGACATCGAATCGTGTATAACACACAGAACAGGAAGAACAAGAAACTCTGACTTCGACTATGTTCACGCTGTAACTTTGCATTCTAGTGTGGCACCCTGTATTTTTGTATTTTGATAGTGAGTTATGTTATGTCAATTTGTTGTCAATTATTAAAAAAGTAGAATTGAAACTTGAATTAGTCCAACACTAGCATTTTACAAGCAATATCTGGTGACCCCGAAGGAACATGGTTCTACTTATACAAAATATCAAAAAAGAGCAACTGCTCAATGTACTGCAACATTTCAAGTTACCTTCTGGTGGAACGGTATCCGATATGAAACTAACCCTGGAAGGTTCCATAAGAGAAAAGTATCCAGATTTGAAGAATCCAAATGATTTCGATTATTCCGACATACTCGAAGAAATAGAGCAGAATACAAACCATGATAAGGATAATATAGATCGTGAAATGT